GTTTATCAGATAATCGATGTGATTATTATCATCATATCAGGGGGTGGTAAATTTGTCGGCCACGAATTATATGCATTTTGGGGGATCTGCCACAAATTATATATATAAATCCGGGATTTATATAGCGACACAAATTATATACAACAAATATACCATAAAATATTTGACGGTTCCTGCCTTTAAAGTAAATGGGATTAAATTTTTATCAAGTCTAACATTAATATTGATAATATTTACCATTAGATTTATTTATTTCTATAATGGCTCTTTTTTTAAAAAAGAAAAAAAAAACACTAAAAATTTTCAAACATAAAAGGCCGGAGAGTCCTATCTAAAAGATCGAGATCCAGGTCGGAATGTAAATCAAGGAAAAGATTATAAGTAAAAATGAGAATAGGCTGGCTCTAGTTCGAAGAGTTAAGTAAAATTGCGAAAATACTAGCCCAGATTCCTAAAACGTACGTAATTAGTCTAAAAATAGACACAAAGTTAGATAGAGAATCACGAGGTACGTTGATCGGGATTATCCGAAAGCTGTGGCGAAACTAGCCCAATTCGAACTAGGCTGTCTAAACTACAACCAATAATTAACATTGTTTCGAATCGATGGCCGACCTTTGAATGGCCGAATATTTGAAACTGCATCTATCCAAAAGCGCATGTGATGCTTTGTATATTCTCTACATTACGGTATCAGATAACAACGCTCCATTCCATTATTTCATCATTAGTGCTCTTTGAGAAATTACAGTCTCCATATTATTGTAACAGACGCCATAATAGCTAACTTATTTTGTTTTGAAAGTGATATCAAGTAGTTATTCAGGCAATCGAATTTACTGAATTATTAAAGATAATAACACATTTATCAACGTTTATTAGGTTATACTCTTTGAACGTCACAGAAACAACGTGAATCATATATCATTGGTGGGTTTATTAATAGATTAAAATATGCAGCTAATATTTACATTGCTTTGAAAAATTCCTTTTTAGTGATACCCCCAAAACTATATAAAGATGTAGCTGCCATATTGTTGATCTCAAAATAATGACGATAAGCAAGTTGAACAATTTGCCAAAAGAACTCAAGGTAGAAATCGCCAGTTACATACCAAATCCTTTCTTTCTTGGATGTTGTTCACGTGATTGGTACAACGTTGTAAATTCTGCGCCGACGCAATATAAATGGATACTTAACAAATATGGCCGCATTCATGCATTGTTTCACGCTGTAAGAATTGGCAAACCATTGCTTAATTCTGAAGTGGCTAAACTTTTATTAAAGTATTCCCATATCAGTCGACACTTTATTCAACGCCTCAAACTTAGTTATGGACAACACGTGTGGGGTAACAATATTTCCAATGATGTATACGAACAGATTCTTAATTTCAAAGAAGGATATAAAAACGACGACCGTAATGACATGCAGTCAATCCGTCAAGTATTGGAAGGGGCAGAAAATGAAAATGTCATAAAAATAATAATTGAAACCTATGGTTTTACACCGTTTCCACCGAGTCCCATTTTCAGAACATATATATTCGAAAATTCTGCGAAATATGAAGATAATCTTCCTCAAAACGGTTATGCAACTGCCTCGGAATTGAAGATCGTGGCTAAGGCGATAATCACTTATCCAAATTTGTTGAATGTCTGGAGGAAAATTGGTTATCATGAGATAACCAACGATTTGGAAAACCCTGTTGTGCAACTCACCCTATTAAATCTTTACTCTACCAGTGTTCCTTCAGGACAAGCAATTGCTGAAAGACTATGCGATTTACAATCAATTGGATTTCCGCCGACTGACACTCTGATTGGAAATGCTCTACTTCTATTCACACGGAGGTTAAACGATGTCGGAGATAGTCTTGTTGAGGCTTTTTGTATTGCTCGGAAAATGTCCAAGGCGGATATTCTTGACCTATGCTTGATAGAATTGCTTGATCCGGCAAGAAATCTTGAACATAATGATGTACTGGATTATATCGTCAACTTGGTTGACAATCCCGAAAAACAAATTCTCTCTGCATTTGAAAAGTATAGTGTTATCGAAGGCAGAAGTAACCTATCTCAATCTCGCACATCCCTTAAATACACACTTGTAGTATATCAATATATGTTAAGGTTTGGTGCAAAGTCTCCGATTGTTAGGTACTTGATGAAAGAAATTATAATTGTTCATACGTGGCTCACCGATACAGGTGATATAGACAAATTGAGAGATGCAGATACTATCCTCGACGAATATTATACTGCAAATGTACCTTTCGATCGATCACTTTTACCGCTGTTTAAAAAATGGTCCCGCGCAAAACCAATTGGCTGTTTATTTGAGGGATATCTCCCAGCACTATTCGGATTTGAGGTCCAACATCGATCTTTTTCGGCGTTCCAAATTCCAGAAGTAGGTGTACTTACGTCACCCACACAAACAGAAGAGTTGCAGCGACTTTGGTTGGAAGACATTCAAAAATGTGTTAAATCCGAAGAATTAGTAAATGATGAATTTACAATGCACGCAACAGAGTTTTTCACTCGTTATCGTTTAATGCACAGTTGTTTTGATCACTGAGCAACTTTATTAAGTCTTTTGGTAGATATTAAATTAAGAAATCGACTTTTTTTTTTCTCTATGTATTATTTCAAGTGCAATTTTATAGGACATTTTAAGGGAATTTATGTATTTTAAGCGCAACACATTATTTTTATTAAAGACAAATACGGGTTATTATGCAGAATTATATTCGGTTAATTACAAATATCGAGAGATTTTGGGAAAGTTAATTAACTATACAATTGAACGCAAACCATGGGCCATTGAAAAGTGGGTCGTTATGTCATCGACTACATAAATGCCATAAGATGGTATGCGCAATGATGCAATTTGTGTGACCTCAGTCTTTATATTTATGCGGGTACTACATAAAGCAGAGCAAGTCGTACAATTCCGTCATTAATTTATATTACACATACAGCCTTATCCGAACTTTCGCTATAAAGAATATCTGCTTATAATAAAGATTGTCTCCAAGCCAGTCTATTTGCTATAAAAAGAGACCTTGGTTATAAGGAATTTCTGGTTATAAGGAATATTTTTTCGGTCCCGTATAATTGTTATAACCAGACTGTGTTCGAAAAATAATATACGGCTTTATCGGGATAGTGCAGTATTTCATGTTCGGCAATGTCTCCCATTCTTGTATGCTCCATATTTTTCCAAATTACAAGTTCATTTTTTTTAGATACTATAGGCGTCTTTCTTGTACACAAGGTTTAATTGGGTGCAAAATCGCGGCATCTAGCAATTTTGGCCATTCATCGTTGCTGTAGATCAACGCATTCAACAGTATATGTATACATTTATAAGTAATTCCTCGAAACCAGTTTACGTATTTTACAAGGGAATATTAATATATGTGTGTGTTGTGTCTGAGAACCCATTCACTTAGTCCAGAACTCGGTCCAGAACTCCCCAACTGAGGTACAACATGTGTAACAGAAAACTTGAATTAGTTATATATTACGCATAAATAGCAAGACAATGTAGGATCCAAATTTCATGCCCAGACAAAATCTATCTCATACGTACACGAGTCGTTTTTTAATCATGAGTTTAATATTAAACGGAAAGTTTAGGTATCAAGGATGCACAATAACTAATCTGTTGATAATCTATCAACGATTAAAGTACTGGATGCAGAATAAACGGTATCCCTAGCGATCAAAACGATAGTCGCGACATTTAATTTGACTCATTTAGAAACAACAAATCGAAATTTATTTTGTTCGAAAAGCAATTGGACTTCCCAAACCTTATTCTGCCAATACTTTTTCATACAGTTTATTATTGTTAGCTTTAACTGGTGTGACTTTTGCCAATTGACGCAAACTTTACAAGGCCATCATTCAACAGGCTCGATATTTCTATACCAATGGACAAAAACTTTGCGTACGTAATTCCGTTACAAAACGAAACTATACGGGTTAACTATGCTGAAAATTTGATCGCTTAACATACTTCTTTTCCCTTTGACAGGCATATGCCGCATTTATGAACGAATGGAACACATACATATAAAATTTAATTGATATTTTAAATTTCATACAGCATATCTTATCTTGTAGCTGTCAACCCCAACGGGGAATAAACAGTTTAGTGAAGACGGTTCGATTTTGAAAAGAGATAATTAGAATGCTGATGCATGCAGCAAAAGCGGACGGATGCTGCTTTTATTGATGGTTAAATCTTTTGATTGAGAAGAGCAATCGAGAGACATAGTATTTGTTTTATTTTATCAATTGTATGCGCACAGACGCATGGTGACCTACATAATTGCTACAATAACTCGCCAACTTGGAATAGGAAACCCAGATGATAAGAGCGTATTATTACATACAGAATATTGTTAATAATAAACTGAACCATTATTTTTTTTTTAATCATAAGGTGAAGTAGTTATTACAAATTAAAGTCATTATATACAGTAATAGTCGGAACTTCCAAAGTTGGAGAAGACTGGACACCGGACATTGGAAACCCGTCCCATGTCCAATATCATAATTGCCCGATCAAAATCAATGGGATGCTTGCATACTTTGTATCCTTAATACATATTTATTTAAAACTCTATATGGACTAGGTAGAAATAATTCGTGTAGTTTCCACTTGGTAGCTTCATTATCTGCAGGACAATGAAGTATAACAACTCCTCCCATTCATAACATTATTTTGGATTCCTAACAACAATCCTAATTGTCCAATGGATGACCTTCGGATATAATGAAAAATACTAAAAACTGCGCCTCATACATCCCAATTATTCAGTGTCCGATGAAGGACATATTCATTGCCCAACTTAGTAAATATAACGGATTCCATGGTTCAGGGATAATTTGTTATATTGATATTGTAAAATCCGGCCGGTTTATAAATCCGCCCTTTAATTACGGTTCCAGGAAGAACACCATACTAAGTGCATAGATATTGTTATACCGAGTATCTTGACCAGCAAAAGAGGATGAATAATATAATTGCTACACAAATTTAAGTTGTGGAATACAGTATATAGATTGTATATATTAATGAGCTTTAGTTCTTTTTAGTATATCTAACATAACAAATAGTGTCAAATATAAACTATTTACGTTCTATTTATTACAGGGTGATCGGACTTTAAATTAATACGTAACATTTATAGTATGTTATGATACCCAAACTGTGTCGATGAATGCCCGGGAATAATGATTGTAAGCATGATCACAAAATGCAGTATGTAACAATAAGATCTGTTATATGATGTAATAATAGAATCTGCTATATACTATTTATGTACCAATAAAAAACTAAGGTTTTCTTTGTAATACTACTGTATATCGATATAGAATCCGCTAACTTGTTTAGGGTTCGGCTATTGCTGGTTTGCCCCATTATGATTAACCCCATTAGAATTGGTCAAGTGACAAATGTAGTGCGACAGATTGCATAAAACTTGTAAATTTACGCCATTTCTTCTAGGTAAAGGGTTAGAAAGTCCCGATGAATACACAGGCAACTTGAAATTGTTTGGAAGAAAATGGACTATACGAGGCTTGCCGTTACATCTTCATCCCGTTCAGTTTGCTGGACGGGAATTAATTAAAGTCGTTAACAAATTAATCGATGGGATTCAAATTGACCGATACGCTTGTTGGAGATGCTCTAATATTGTTCGTGTATTGGCTATACTCTCTATATAAATATAGGCGAAAATATTTGATCGAAGGTTTTGCCATGAATTTTACTTGCTGCGGCCGGTGATCCCAAAATAGATATCAAAGATGTATTGCATCATTAATTTATAGTTTCATTGTGCGCATTTCGCTACACACATTGTGTTCCCTGCATCAATACTTAAAATCACATGCTGATCATATGTGAATGCGAATTACTTCATATCCTTAAAATACGACTTTATCCAAGTGTGACATCGAGCATCAGACAAATTTGTACTTTCATTCCCAAATTTGGTAAAATTATTGCCCGGTGAAATACATGACATGTTTTTGCTGACCATTTTGGGCAGCTTGCTTTAGGACCCTGACCTGTTTCAGTAACCTAATTGCAGCTGTTAATGAAATTTTTGTTTGCGAAACGTCTGCCAGTCCATTATATTCCACTTGGCAGAAGCTGAGATTAGAAGCGTAAACGGAGAAGGCTTTATCATCATGAAGCGATTTGACGTCTTACTGCTCCCCCTTTTCAGAAAACATACTTTTTATTTACTTAGGTAGGTATGGTAAAAACTGGCATTAGCATGTGAATAAGTCTTTTGCTATTGAATTTATCAACTATAAATTATCTTATTATAATAATAAAAATGGTAACTGCGTTAGTTCATCGAGCCAAGCGTTGGCTGATAGTTTCAGCTGTATGACAATCACATTTTGTATCATGTGTTATACGAATTATCGCGTAAATAGCATCAACCTGTTCAAACTGTCACCTGTGCCTTCAACTTGATGTTGTATTCAAGATGTTACTGTATCAGCAGTTGTCATTCATACTGCGTCGTTGGAAATATATAAAGGCTTTAACCAAATATGGTATTCAAGGGATCTATCAAGTCATGCGCCCATAGATTGCCAAATTTGTATTTATAATTCCTAATTTGATTAGCTCGATAAACCTGGTGACACGCTATTATTATTATTCTTCTTCTTCTTATGTCATGCCTAATACCTAATACAGAATGCCCGCCAGGGCCAGCTCCGGATAAACTCAGTTACTAAAACAAGGATGGATGTTCAGGAAAATCCATTGTCTCTCATATTAATACACGCAAAAATTCTAATAATAGTTTCAACCTTACACGATACCTTAGTTTGCGAGACTTATAGCCCAGTCGAACGCCAGACAAGAGATATATTAATTAATATGGCACCTCGTGGTTCTATAAAGCAAGCGTAAAACCCCAACAGATTATGAAGTTTACCAAATTTGTGATTAATAATGCACTGGGTCTACGACGCGGCTACACAGTTTCTAATAATAGGTAAGGTTACACGGTTTCACACATCACATGAGACTCACAATCGTCAACTGACCCTTTCACTGCTGCCAAATTCTTTTTTAAGACTTATATACGCAAAAAAATGATATAAACTCACAGCCCTCCTCTTCGCTTCGCTTAAGATCATGGCGGTGAGCAAATTGAGCAAATTGAGCAAGTTGCATATAGAACTCAAGGTAGAAATTGCGAGTCACGTGGAAACTCTTTACTCTCTTGGATGCTGCTCACGTGATTGGAACATCATAATAAATTCACCACATACAAAGTACAAATGGTTACTCAACAAATACGGCTGCATTCATGCATTGTCTCACGCTGTACGAATCGGTGAACCGTTGTTCAATTTTGAAATGGCTAAACTTTTATTTAAATATTCCCATATCAGTCGACATTTTGTTCAATGTCTCAAACTTGAATATGGAAAGCACGGCGGGTGGGGTAATAATATTTCCAACAAGGTATACGAAAGTATTCTTAATTTCAAGAAGGAATATAGAAGCGACAACCGTAATGATATACAGTCAATTCGTCAAGTATTGGAAGGAACAGGAAACGAAGACGATATCATAACAATAATTGAAAACTACGGTTTTACACCGTTTCCGCCGAGTTTCATTTTCAGAACGTATATCTTCGAACATCTTGCCGAATATGAAGATGAGCTTTCACAAAATGGTTATGCAACAGCTTCTGAATTGAGGATCGTGGCAAAGGCGATAATCACTTATCCAAATTTGCTGAAAGTCTGGAGGAAGATAGGCTATCACGAAATAACCGAGGATTTGGAAAACCCTGTTGTGCAACTCACCTTACTAAATCTTTATTCAACTGGTGTTCCTTCAGTCCAAACAGTTGTTGAAAAATTACGCAATTTACAATCAATTGGATTTTCACTGACTGACACTCTGGTTGGAAATGCTATCCTTCTATTCAAAGGGAGGTTAGTCGACGTCGGAGAGAGTCTCATTGAAAGCTTTTCTATTGCTCGAGAATTATCTAAGGGAGACATACTTGATATATGCTTGATAGAATTGCTTAATCCGATAAGAAATTTTGAACAATACGATGCACTAGATTATATCATCAACTCGATTAACAATCCCGAAAAGCAAATACTCTCTGCATTTGAAAAGTACAGTATTGTCGAAAATGGAAACAACCCATTGCATTCCCACTCTCACAGATTCCTTAAATATTCACTTGTAGTGTATCGATACATGTTAAAGTTCGGCGCACAGTCTCCAGTCGTTAGATACTTGATGAAAGAAATTGTAATTGTCCATACACAGCTTACCAATATGGAAAATGTAGACAAATTGAGAGATGCAGATTCTATCCTCGACGAATACTATACTGCAAATGTACCTTTCGAACAATCACTTTTTTCGCTCTTCAAAGAATGCTTGCGCACAAAACCAATCAGCTATTTATTTGAAGGATATCTGCCAACGTTGTTCGGATTTGAAGTCCAACATCAATCATTTTTGATAACCAAAATCCCAGAAGTAGATGCACTTATGTCACCCACGCAGACGGAAGAATTGAAGCAACTTTGGTTAGATGACATTCAAAAATGTATTAAATCAGAAGAATTAGTAAACGGCGAATTTAGTAAACAGGTTACTGAGTTTTTTACTCTTTACGATCTGTCACATAGCAGTTTCGATCATTATGAGCAGCTTTATTAAGTTTATTGGTAGATATACTAATTAAGAAATTGATTTTTTCCTCTATGTATTATTTAAAATGCAATTTTTATGGACAAATAAGGGTAATTATGCAGAAAATATATTCGGTTAATTACAAATGTCGAGTGGTCTTGGGAGAGGCTAGTTAACTTTACCTTGAAAAGTGTTTCGTCTACAAATACCATACATGCAACAATGTAATTTGTGTGACCCAGGAGGAGAGACTTGCAGAGTCGTACAATCCCAACGGGGAAGATAGTAAATCTTTTTGATTAAGAAGAGTAATCGAGAAACATACATAGTCTTTTTTTATTTTATTTTGTCAATTGCATGCGGGAAAGTTCGGAGATTTTTTACGCACAGACACATGGTAACCTATATAATTCGTCAACTACGAAATAATGAACTCAGCTGATAAGAGCGTTATTATTACATCAGAGTATTATTAATACAGTAAACGAAGGCCTACCGTGAATAAAGGGCCGTAATGTTATTAAATAGCTGCTCTTACCCCCGAAAATTATATGAAACATGCAGTTTGTGATTACTTGGACAATTGTTATCATCGTAGATCACTTTGCATTGGTTTTAAGGCGCAACCAAACGTCTTCATGAATAATAGCCCCTTATATGATAATGACTAAACCGTTATCTTTGTAATCATAAAGTAAATTAGTGGTTGCAAATAAGTATTGTATACAGTAATAGGGATTTCACGGTCCGGGCAGACAATCTGTTATATTGTAAAAATTCGGCTTATAGATCAGCTTCCTTCAATTAAGTAAGCTTTTGGTTCCAAGAAAGAACTTCGTACTAAGTAAATCTATTACATCGATAGTCTATTATGCCGACTATCATCGTATCTTGGTTAGCAAACTCTGGTAGATTAGATTTTGATGCAAGAAATATATACGCCAACAAGGGAGATAAAGAGTTGGTCAGTTTTTAATTAATAACTAGGTTAATTAATAATGTCAACGAGAATTTGTTTGATATTATACCTTTCTCAGTAATCTACAGTATTATTTGTAATGCATGTTGTGCAACTGTTGAATAGTTATTGGTTTTAGAGTGAGCCTTACTTATTGACAAGCACATATGAATTGTTCTTAATCTGTAACAGTAGTAACAGTGGGATTGATTATGGTAAGCTCCGCAGCCCGCCAAAAGCGCCGCTTTTCCGGCTCCAATAATTCAATCGTTGATACAACGTCGCTTTTATTTGTCCGTTTTGCTAACTAAAGCGTTTAAACTTCTCTCCCCCTCAGAATTAAACCAGGAGATACTTAATCAAAGAAATCATAAACAGCTCGCCAATACCAAAGATTCAGACAAACAAAGATGCAGATATTATCCTTGAATGTGTTTGTTCGAAGTCCGATATCAATCATTTTTGACTTTCAATTCCACAAGTAGCAATCAGAAAAGTTGCAGCGACTTTGGTTAGAATACACTCACAATGTATTACTCTACTCTTTACAATTTGTTGCGCCGTAGTCTTGATTATGAGCGACTCTACTAAGAAGCTCGTGAATAAATTAAGATTGATTCTTTTTTGTGTGGAACCAAGAGGCTAATACAAACAAGTCTTTTCATTGTGCTGATGTCTTCAGAACGTTGCTGTACTGTATAAAGTGTATTTTGGTTCATTGTAGATTTCCCTATTAGTTTTTGTCATTAGTGATTAGTAATATTACAGCTGACATTTTGTTGTTTACATGATCTTTACGTTTGTGTTGTTGGCGGCATCCGTGTTACCGGGAGAACAGTGGATGATAGATCTAATATAATTGCTACACAAATTTAAGTTTATCCATTGCATGAGGTTTTATATAAACGTATTAATTGGCTTCGGTTCTTTTTAGTAACAAGGGTATCATACATAAACTATTTACGTTCTGTTTATTACAAGAAAAAAGCAACAGAGATATCTGAGGTTATCAGCGCTTTAAATTAATACGTAGCATTTATGATACTCAGATTGTGTCGATGAATGCCCGGGAATAACATATGCATGATCACATGCTGTGTTTGTGTAGCAATAGGATCTTTTTTGTGCTAACAAAAACTGACGTCTTCACTGTATATCGATCGCCAATTTGTTTGGTCCGGTTGTTTCCGTTCGTTTGTTCCATTATGACATTATGATGTTGTGTTAGAGGTCAAGTGACAATTGTAATGCGACAAAATTGCGATAATATCATAGAAACTTGTAAATCTGCGCCATTTCTTCTGGTTAAGGGGGTTAAAAAGATGTTTACCTCTGATGGATACACAGACGACTTGAGCTTGAATATTATCGCACGGCTTATCGGAAGAAAATGGATATTATAAGGTAGTAGGCAATTTTAATGACTGGTTATACGAGGCTTGTTGTTACCGTTCAGTTTGCTGTAATTAATTCAAAGTCGTTGACAAATTAAGCGATTTGATATTATTTGAGCATTAGCCACACTTTTATCTATGAAGCTATTGTGTGGCTTTGCCCGCCGCGGTGTATCACAAAATAGATATCAAAGGGTGTGATCTATTTTTGCATCGTCGTTAAATCAATAATAGATTCGTTTCTGCATCGATTTTCACATCGATAAGTTGTTGTATATAAATAGGAGTGATTGTAATTAATGTTTGTTCTAAATACAACCCATGACCGTCACACTTAATTGTTCCATCTAACTATATTAATATCATATAAAAGATTCAGTGCTCCCTGTGTGACCAACAACTCGTACAGATCATTATAATAAGTTAGTATACTAATAATAAATGGCGGCGCCTTTTTTCTTCTGTTATTCGCACTTTAGAGATCTGTTTATTATTATGCGATGTACTATTTTTGATAGATCAGCTTTAATATATCCTTAAAAGTAGTTTGACCCTTTTCACGTTCACTGCTGCCAAATTCCTTGTTGGAATTCTTATAGAAAATAGTATATAAATGACCCTTTCCCCGCTTAGCCCAGAAGCATGATGATGAATAAATTGCCTGTAGAGGTCAAGATAGAAGTTGCGAGTCACGTGGAAACTCTTTACTCTCTTGGATGCTGCTCACGTGATTGGAGCAGGATAATAAATTCACCACATACAAAGTACAAATGGTTACTCAACAAATACGGATATATTCATGGATTATTTCACGCTGTCAGAATCGGGGAACCATTGTTCAATTTTGAAATGGCCGAACTTTTATTAAAGTATTCCCATATTAGTCGACATTTTGTTCAACGTCTCAAACTTGAATATGGAAAGCACGGCGAGTGGTGTAATAATATTTCCAACAAGGTATACGAAAGTATTCTTAATTTCAAGAAGGAATATGGAAGCGACAACCGTAATGATATACAGTCAATTCGTCAAATATTGGAAGGAACAGGAAACGAAGACGATATCATAACAATAATTGAAAACTACGGTTTTACACCGTTTCCGCCGAGTTTCATTTTCAGAACGTATATCTTCGAACATCTTGCCGAATATGAAGATGAGCTTTCACAAAATGGTTATGCAACAGCTTCTGAATTGAGGATCGTGGCAAAGGCGATAATCACTTATCCAAATTTGCTGAAAGTCTGGAGGAAGATAGGCTATCACGAAATAACCGAGGATTTGGAAAACCCTGTTGTGCAACTCACCTTACTAAATCTTTATTCAACTGGTGTTCCTTCAGTCCAAACAGTTGTTGAAAAATTACGCAATTTACAATCAATTGGATTTTCACTGACTGACACTCTGGTTGGAAATGCTATCCTTCTATTCAAAGGGAGGTTAGTCGACGTCGGAGAGAGTCTCATTGAAAGCTTTTCTATTGCTCGAGAATTATCTAAGGGAGACATACTTGATATATGCTTGATAGAATTGCTTAATCCGATAAGAAATTTTGAACAATACGATGCACTAGATTATATCATCAACTCGATTAACAATCCCGAAAAGCAAATACTCTCTGCATTTGAAAAGTACAGTATTGTCGAAAATGGAAACAACCCATTGCATTCCCACTCTCACAGATTCCTTAAATATTCACTTGTAGTGTATCGATACATGTTAAAGTTCGGCGCACAGTCTCCAGTCGTTAGATACTTGATGAAAGAAATTGTAATTGTCCATACACAGCTTACCAATATGGAAAATGTAGACAAATTGAGAGATGCAGATTCTATCCTCGACGAATACTATACTGCAAATGTACCTTTCGAACAATCACTTTTTTCGCTCTTCAAAGAATGCTTGCGCACAAAACCAATCAGCTATTTATTTGAAGGATATCTGCCAACGTTGTTCGGATTTGAAGTCCAACATCAATCATTTTTGATAACCAAAATCCCAGAAGTAGATGCACTTATGTCACCCACGCAGACGGAAGAATTGAAGCAACTTTGGTTAGATGACATTCAAAAATGTATTAAATCAGAAGAATTAGTAAACGGCGAATTTAGTAAACAGGTTACTGAGTTTTTTACTCTTTACGATCTGTCACATAGCAGTTTCGATCATTATGAGCAGCTTTATTAAGTTTATTGGTAGATATACTAATTAAGAAATTGATTCTTTCTCTGTGATTATTTCAAGTGCAATTTTTATGAGAATATTCCAAGGGTATTATTAAGAGTAACTATGCAAAATATATATTCGGTCGGTCAATCGCAAAGTCAACTTCTGCATAATTGTATTCTGTTAAGATTTAAATAAACGAATTGTGTATTGCTAACAATTTTATTCAGTAAACTCAAACTATATTCGAAAACTCTTATACAAAGAGGGCCGCATTTCTTGTCAGCCTGTTAGGTTATTAATATTTTCTTTACTATTGTGCCAAGCAATTTAGGTCGACCACTCTTGAATCTCTATATAGTAACGTTAAATCTGTGGGTTTGAACTAAGACTTTTATTATTAGACTCGGAACTTGCTCATTTCATTCAAATCTCCAGATCAATGAGCATTGTATGTATCGCCAAAAAGAAGAATCGTATGACACATCTGATCGACTAATGCTTATTAT